CCATCAGAGGCTTTCTTTACCAGCACCACCCCCATCTCAACTTAGGTTCTCTGCCAGGCCCAATGCCAGCCCCTACTCAGAGCCACTTTGGCCCTTAAACTGCTGGGCCTCTACTATCTAGTTGAAGACGTAGAGATGTACAGAACCCACAGGGAAAAGACGAACACATGGATTCAAACAGGCAAATATAAACTGAACTCCTAGTTAAGGAGGAGCATGAATGACAAAAAGGGGATGAAAATAAAATGAGGGGGGCTACCTGCAGAAGGCAAGTTTTCAGTAAAGAATGATAAGGGGATGCCAAGCCTGATGAAAAGCCAGGAACGGGAAAGACTCGAAGGTTGAAGAAATGGCAAACGATAGAGAGCCAAGATATGGCTACCTGGAGCAGTGGGTTCTTGCTGCAGAGCTAAGAGGGAGTTGGTGGCTAGTTCGGGCCACCTCCAGGAGTCATGGCAGGCACATGCTCCTTGAGCAGAGAGTGACATGGATAAAAGGAGCTTTGAAAGAATGGTTCTACTAGTGTCTACGGCCATGCCACCCTGAACAAGCCCGATCCTGTCTGATCTTGGAAGCTATGCAGGGTCGGGCCTTCTTAGTACTTGGATGGGAGACCAGCTGGGAATATCAGGTGCTGTAGGCGTAAACAATAAAAAATAAGGGATTGTAAGCTGACAAGGTCCTTGCAATCTGTGAGGTCAACCAAGGGTTTCTTCACCTAAAAAAAAAGAAGAAGAAAGAATGGTTCTGCTACTGCCAGTGTAGGCTGGGTGAGAGGGAAAGCCCAGAGGCATGGAAGCGAGAGACTGCAGACCAGAGGGACATGTAGCCAGTGAACTTTTTAATCCAAAATTTGCAAAATAATGAAAGGTAGACACGCGTGTTAGAGGTGTCTCGTCAGGAGCAAACAAAATTGGTGGAGGCGCTAGAGTAAGACACAGCAGAGTGTCTAGTCTGTGTTCATGGGGAAAAGTCACTTCTCCCTGGTGCATTTCAGAGAAGCTGAGGGCGTGAGTTTCAGGAAGTATCTGCGACCTCGCCTGATGGTGACCTGGACACACTATCCTGCCAGAGCCAAGGACAGGAAGCTTCCACAGAGGCTGTGGCTGGATTCAAGTAATCCAGGATAGGCTGTTTCCATCTGTGAGGCCTATTCTTGATTACTTGTTTCTGGAGGCAGCTGATGGTTCGCCGCCGGAAACTGTTGGCTCCCGGGACATAGGTGCATGTTTCCTTCCTGAGCTGGGTCAAGGCTGGGACCACTGAGCCAGCAGAAGCCTTTTGAGGAAGTGCTACTAGTGCACAGGCCTGTGAGGCAGAAGGCTTCCAGCCAAGTGGTCCCAGAGCCTGAGGTATAGGAGTGTGGACAAAGGAAGGTCTGCAACTACTTGCTGCTTTTCGTGTAAGTGTTGGTCATGACCAGTGCTGCGATGCTTCACCCTCGCAGGAATGGTTCCAACAAGCCTCTCTGCTTTTTATCAGGTGTATGTGCTCAAGAGGCCTTATGTGGATGAGTTCCTGAGACGAATGGGGGAACTGTTTGAATGTGTTCTCTTCACTGCCAGCCTGGCCAAGGTACCTGGGAGCAGGTGGGGCAGCTATAGGGGTGCTCCTTGCAGGTCCCCAGGATGCCACTGGGGAACTAGGACTGCATCCAAACAAAAGTGTCTTCTCTTCTCCCAGTATGCCGATCCTGTGACGGATCTGCTGGACAGGTGTGGGGTGTTCCGGGCGCGCCTGTTCCGTGAGTCCTGTGTGTTCCACCAGGGCTGCTATGTCAAGGACCTCAGCCGCTTGGGAAGGGACCTGAGGAAAACCCTCATCCTGGACAACTCACCGGCTTCTTATATCTTCCATCCAGAGAACGCAGTGAGTGGTTCAGATGTGCCCACACTGGGGGACTGGGAGAGTCCCTGCCACAGGGGGAGAGGGAGTGGGCAGGGGAATCAGAGGAGCACACCTCCCCAGGTGGACCCAGCCAGCCTCGGGCTCTGGAGCAAGGGAAGGAAGAATTGACAGGATATTTATGCCGCCTTTTCCCTGCCCCAGGTGCCTGTGCAGTCTTGGTTTGATGACATGGCAGACACCGAGTTGCTGAACCTGATCCCAATCTTTGAGGAGCTGAGCGGAGCAGAGGATGTCTACACCAGCCTTGGGCAGCTGCGGGCCCCTTAGTCTTCCCTGCTTCCAAGCAACGGCCATCCCAACAGGGGACTTTCCTACATTGTGCCTTTATGATCAGCCTGACAGACAGAGCAGAAGCTGGAGCATCTCACCAAATGGGGCCTGGAAATAGAAGTGATGGGGAAGAGCTTTAGGACAGGTTAGATGCCGAGTGGGCAAATGTCAGACCATTGATACCTGGAGCTGCCTGCTCCCTGAGTTGGGTTCCTGAGATGGGAAGATGGGAGAGGGGAGTGTGTGTGTGTGTGTGTGTGTGGCCTTGAACTGTGGCTCCAGGATATAAGTTTCACATTGGGGAGGAAGCTGAAATGAAAGATAACTCTGCCCAAGTTAGTCCGTTTCTTCTCCAGTCATCCGGAGAGCCACTGAGCTCTATAGGGATGAAGACTATTCAGAGTTCCGTTGCCAAACTCTTGGCCTTTCCCAGTGTTGTAAGCCTTGTGCCAAGGAGAAGGGAAGGGTCAGAGGCTGCCTTCCGGTGCTCTGGGCACCCTCTTTTCTGAAAACTTTCTCCAGCCAGCTGCTGCAGGTAGACGACATGTCTAGAAGATGAAAGCTTGTTTCTAGAACTGGTAGTTCCAGTGGCCATCAAGTCCTGCAGCCCAAGGGCTGCACTTGCCTCCAGCCGAGTGCCAGGCATGGGCCCTTTCTGTGTCTCCCCAAGGCTCGGGCCTACCTTCCTCGCCACCTAGCCATAGTCTTGAACACATAGGGAAGGAGGTCTTCTCCCTGCCATGGCAGAGGGCAGAAAACCGATTTCTGTTCTTTCGACTCTGTTTTAAAATTCTCTTTCTAAACATGGAGTGTTGGACCTGTTTTGTTTCTGACAGAACTGCAGTCCTGGGCTTAAGGTGAATGTGGGAGGCACTGGGGGTGCAGAAAAGAGGAAAATCCCAAAAGCATGAATGTGTCCCCTTCGCTTATATGTAGATCAGCTGAGCTTGGGACTGTCCATAAGTCTGCTCTTCAGGGATCCGCTGCTGGTGCTGGTGCAAGTACTTTTTTTGTTCCAAAGTCCAGGAAGGGTGTGCACCCCGTCTGCCCCTCCTGTTCTTTGGCAGGGGTCTTTCCCCTTGTTTCTTTCCCCAGGGCCTGGCCTGTGCAGAGCTGCTCTGCTCCATCTTCATCCCTCCTGGTGGTCGCTTTTTCTCTCCTGGGCCTCAGAGGCATTCCTCCTTGTTCTGAGGGGGAGTGGAGTGGGTGTTCTCATCATTACCTTGCCAGGCTAACGCACATGCAGTCCACCTCTGGTAAAAGGTGTGATGAGCCCTTCACACACCTGTGCTTTGTGTGTCTCTTGCTTTCAAAGTTTCAAAATAGTGAATGCTTTAAAAATTAGTCACAAAATGGAAGTTTCCCCAGGACGGAAAACAAAAGAAGTGCTGCTATAATTAAGAGCGCAAGAGGACCCCTCTTATGCTCAGCATCACTGCCTTAATTGTGACCTCCCCCTGGACTGGGTGGGGTTCTCTCCTCTCTTCCCTCCTTCTCTCTGGGATGGGAGGGAGTTCCTATCCCCCATCTCTGGTTTCCCTGGAGGCAGATGTCACAAAGCATTTGTACATCACTTCAGGTATGAGGACACCTCCCACTCAGGTCTCATCCCCATTAGCCTTTTCAGTTTCCACACACTAGGTCCAGCCTGAGGAACTAACCAGTTTCAAGAAAGCTGGGTGATGGAGTAGCAGCTCGGTGGTCTGAGTGGTAGCTGGCTGCCTGCATTGTCGTGCCATCTCCCTGCTTTGACAAGGTTGTAAGGCCTAGTCTCCTTTGGTGTCACAGACGTGGAAGAAAGCCCCCAAAGTCCATGTGGTCATTTCCTCCAGCCTCATTCCCGGTGTCCATGGGGTCCTGCTGCAGTGGGGGAAGTGGGATCTGGTGCTAGCCAGGAGCGATGTCCCTTGAAGGAAATGGGAGTTTCTGACTCATAAGGCTCTGGCCTAGGCCTCCATCCTAATATTGTGGGTGCGTCCTCTCTCCAAAAGCCCACCCTAAGGGTTAGCCCTTGGATCAAGTCTTCTGCCATCTGGGCCTAGCCAAGCTTTTCTGACTAAGCAATAAGAGGCTCTAAGTTGATCCGGTTTTTAGGATTCTTTCTGCCCTCCTTTGGGTCTCCCATGTTCCTCCAGGTGAAGGAAGAGCCTGTGCCAGCCCCTTTCCTATCAGGCTTGTCCAAGTGTGACTCATGACCAGAGCCCAGGATAGCTAGTTAGGAGTGTCCCTGCCGCTTCTGCATGAAGCCCCTGCTCTATATGCCTCTATTCTGTCAGAACCCTGCCCTGCCCACCTGCAGTTCCTCAACAGAAATGCCATTCCCTCTTCGCTGGAGAAGCAACGAGGCCAAATCTTAACAGGGTCCATCCGTGCGGACCAGAGCGAGCCTTATGTGCTGCCTGGTGTCCAGTTTCATACTGTGTAAGGGTACGTTCTGATTGCTCCTGAGAGGAATTAGGCCAGACTCACTTTTGGAACAGGGAGGGAGCCAAATCACCCCAGGATCTGTCCAAGGGCTTCCCACCAGCCCTTCCCGTTTGAGGCTGGTCTTCAGGAGGCAATGGGCCACTGTGCCTAGTCAGCACCAATTCAAGCCATGCCAGGAATCTGTCCACCTGCCAGGTTCAGTTCTTTAAGGTGCCTGTTCAGGGACACAGTGTGTCTCTCTGATTAGGCTTCTAAATCAAAAGCCTGATGTTCGTGTCCCTCTCATAGGGGGAGCTTTGGACACAGGACCAGTTTGGAAAGGGTCAGGTAAGAGTTTCCACTCTGCACATTGTAGAGGGGACACTCTGTAGGCCCATGGGTCCCTTATTATAGAGAGGTTGGGTAAATTTGCCTTCGGTTAACCTGGGATCTTCTATTTAGTTCTCTCCTGCCTCCCAAAGATTTTGACCATTTTGTAAGTGTATAAACTCACCTCTGTTAACAGTGGCCCAGAAGCTTCTTTGTGCTAAAAAGCATGGGGAATCTAAAGGCATTCATTCCCTGGGAAATGGATGCTATTCTGTTTTGCTACACCTACCCTGTTGCTGAGGCTTCTTTCAGTAGGGCGGCCCCATTGTAAGGCTGTCCTGCATTCTGTGTCCCAGCCAGGCCAAGTACCTGAGAAAGGTAAACCTATTTCCCCCTTAGGTCTTCAGTTGGTTATTTTACCACTGTTGTCCCTCAGTCACGTTTTGTAAAATGAGGTTTTAGTTTTTACTTTTTTTTTAATGCTGGTAAATATTTGCATTCAAGCAAGGGGTGGAAGGCAGAGGGTCTGGCCTACTGCCCCATTCCTTTAATGCTGTCGGGCCTACCCCTCCTCTTGGGGCCCCATGAGCTTCTTTGCTTATAGTTATCCCAAGTTTGACATGTTCCATGTCTTGCCACTTTTCCCCTTCAAGATGCCATTTGGAGGGTGGGGAATCTGCTTCCCACTGTGACTGGGCTGTGGGATTCTGACTACCTTGCTTACAGATTCATGGTTTGATAAATTTGTTGTATTCAAAAACTTGAAATGTAGGACGCCATTAAGTGTCTGTTTATATTTTTGGAATATTTGTATTACTTACAATTAATTAATAAAAGCGGGTTTAAAAAATCCATCCAGGAATGAGCTGCCTCCTGACCCTGCTGTTCATTCGGTGCCTACTGGGCACACCCTTCTCCCTTTGCAACTCCTGTCAGGACGAAGCTGGAGTACCATGTTGAGGAGACCAGCTGCAGACGCAGCACTGGGCTTCTGCTCAGGGTTACAGATACAGGACGTCTCTGTAAGCTACATTAGCTCTTCCTGGCCCCCAATGGAACCAACTCCGTTGCCATCCAGGTGCTTAATAAGCATATGCTTGGTGTCCTATTGACTCCTGGGGATGAACCAGCAGCTCCAGGGGACTTGGAGTCTTCATTCTTCTGTGCCCCTTACAGATGTTCTCAAATCAGGATCCATGAAACTGGGAGCCCAGCATTGTTCCTGGCACATGGTAGGCACTCAAATATTGATTGGACCGATGTATGACCCCAAGGAGCAAAATAGGATGATGTAATAACACACTCTTGGCCCCTCTCCTAGACTTCTCCAAGAAATGCCCAGAAGCTTCTCAGGGAGGCGCTCACCAGCCTGGACATGCCAGGCACTGGACAGGCAGCTCCGGCCCCTGCCTCCTGTCATCAGCATAATGCATCTATATCTACAATATGGCAAATTTCATATCCTCCCAGCCTCTTTCCTGCATTATTGATGGGCTGTGCACTTTTTAAAAATCAATTAGATCAGGGCGTGGAGCTAGAGTTAAAAGAAGCCTTTAAAAGTCTGCTCTTGTTTTTGCTGCTTTGAATAGGGACAGAGATCAAGCTTTCCGTCTGGTTTGAATAAGTCAAGCCCAAGGCTAGGTTGGCTGTGATTGGCCAGGACTAGGAAAATGTGGTTAGGATGCAAACTCAAGCAAATATAACCCAGTGTGTCTGTGCAGCCATTGCTAAGCTCAGGCAGCAGGACCTGGATCCTCCTGCTTTGGGGTGGTTCTTCAATACTGCTGCTTACTCACCAGCAAACTGGGAAGACGGTGAGAGAGAAGGCAAGGTAAGGTCTCTTTGGTTTATGGGTACACATCAGTAAAGCCATCTTACTGAACAGGAAAGAAAGGAGGAGATTGAGATTTCCCTGGCTTTGTCTTCTTGCATGAGGCTTTTAAAGGGTTGAACCAGAGCTTTGTGATCAGTTTTGCAAACTTCCTGTTGCCAAGTCTAGGCCCTTTTCATAGGCCACTGAACAGATAGGGCACATTTTAAACACTGGGAAAGATGGAAAAGACCCCTTTCACCTATCTAAGAAAGATCATATGGGGCAAGGCAGAAGTTAAAACCAACTTCCTCTGAGGTCCATTCATACAGATGTCTCAGAATTAAGGGCCACTGACTTTTAACTTGTATCAAAACTGCACCCTGCCCCTGGGGTTTCTGCAGTGATCTCAAAGGGTGCTCAATTAATAGGGACTTGAAGAAGGAAGCGACAGAGTTTGGGGGGAATTTGATGTCACCGATGGAATTGACATTTTTCTGGGTGTTCCAGTGTGCCAGGAAGTCTTTTCTTTGAGCATGTCTTCTCATGCATTTGGGGGACCCTGGCCCAATGACCTCCTTCCCGATTGCTCAGTCCCTGCTGAGAAATGGGACTGCTTTTGGCCTCTGAGACACAGTCCTAATTAATGACGGTTTGGTTTTTACCAGGTTGGCACTTCTTTATCTTCAAGGAATGAATTCATTGGCCCTTGTCCCCTTCCCCTAGTTGGGTCACAGCATTTACCTTTAATGACTAAAATCAAGGGTCTGAAGAAAACCTTAACAAATATTTCCTGGCAGCTCTGAGCAGCACAGGGTGGGGCGGCGCAAGTTATCAAATTCAATCCTCAAACACTGGCTGCTCCGCATCACTGCTCTGCTTTAGTCCTGCCTTAGCAGTAGACAAAGGGAGTTTGTTTTTATGTTTTTGCCAAGGTCCATACTAGATAATGGCGCATATTCTCTAAACCTGGCTTCATCCACCAAGGCTCAAGGAAAGAATGGCCAGACTTGTGCCTCTTAACGAGCACAATATGCTTCCAAACAGCAAAGCTCCACGCAGTCCTCTCTGGGTGGGCTTTCATCCCATGTAGATCCATCAAGCCTGTCTTTTTCCTTTGCCTCTTGGGAGCATTCATCAGTCATATGTATTATCAGATTGCAAGCTCCTTGAGAGCAAGAATCAGGTAGGCATTTTAATTATATAAAGCCCCTGTGCGACCATGGATGTGTGTAGGTGCTTGATAACAGTCAATAGATAATGCCTCAAATAGAGATCCACACAGACTTCTCTTTACCACTTCCTCTCCCCAACAAAGGCCAGACACAGCAACACTTAAGGCCAAACACAGGCCCCTTAGTGTGTGTGGGAGGGTCTGGGGAAGCAGGGTCGGGGTGTGAATGGGGTATGGGTGGGGGGCCTGGGTGGGCGGGGCAAGGAGAGCATCTGTCCACTGGCAGATCAGGCCATGCCCACCTTCCCCTGTTGGCACCTGCACTCTTCGTCCCAGGCACAGCCCTGCCATTTTACTTTCCCTTTTCTTCTGTGAGGTACAAGGAATATATTAGTCATAAAACAAAAGCAGGACAGATGGGCTGAGTTTTAGAATAGTTTACTTCAGCGGAAAAGCCTGGAATGTAAAAGCCCAAAGAGAAGGTCAAAGAGTTGACTGTGGAGAGGACCTGAGAAGATTTGGAAGGGGTGCGAGTGAGGGAAAGTGTCCCAGTTTAGAAATATTTATTCTGACATAAGCTTTTCTCCCCAGGTACCGCTGAATTTAGGTAAGCTTAGGAAGGATTACAATATATCAAAGTGACTAAAAGCACAGGTTTTAAAATCAGTTATGGATTTCATTCTACTATGTGATTCTGGGCAAATAATGTAACCTCTCTGAATCTCAGTTTTCCTACAATGTAAGATAAAATATGCTCAGCTTAGAATTAAATGAGATAACAAATTACCAACACAGGGCTTAACATATTTATCACCCCTTCAGTAAATAATCGTGGCTGTTACCAGAACTCTTAATGAGAGAAGTGGCAAGTGAGAGGCAGAACTTCCAGGTGGAGATCCCCAGACCAGCCAGGCTAATGATGCGAACTTGGACAGGTCATTCCCCCCATGACTGTGAAATAGCACAGGGATGCACCAGAAGGCCATGGCAGGATGGCTGACAAGAAATTGGGAAGTGACTTAGGAGGAAAGCTGGATGGATGCCTGCTGGGAGAGGCATCATCTCCCTGCTTGCTCTGTGATGTTTCAGTCCCTAGAAGACGAGCCATGTCTCTGAGCAGCGCCTTCAGGGCTGTGGGCAATGACCCTGGGATCATCACCTGGAGAATAGAGGTGAGTGGGGTTGGAGGCACACCACACACCTTCCTCCTCACCCTGAATCTGGGGGTGGACTCTGGCCACCCAGGTCTGCTAGATGACACCCCTCCAGCAATCCTGTCTGCTGCCTGTGGTTTGGCAACAGTGAGAGGCAGCATCAAAGTGCACATTTTCCTACCCTTGACCCCTCCTGGGTGCTCAAAGCAGGTGGGTGCCAGGTGAAGGAAATGTTCTTAGCCTTAGAGAACAGGGTTCCAAGCAAAAACAGGCTTGCCCTTTATCCAGCCATCTGCTCAGTGAGTCTGCACTTCTAGTAAATGCCCTAAAGAGATGGGTGGGGCCGGGGTGCACCCTGGAGACTGATACACCTGGCTACTTCTGTCAGAAAAAATGGAACCTGTCTTCCACAGGGTGCTCTGGCTCCTGCAAAGTAGAGGGGAGGTTTGAAGGCACTACACAGATTGGGGCACAGCTCATTCCTTCTCCCACCTGGGCTTGAGACCCTCTGGCTGACCTTGAGCTCCAGCAGTCTGTAGCTTGGAATGGCCCTAGCCTGGGCAGCCCTACCTACCCCATGTGAGGACCTGCTCCTTACCCCCACACCCCTCCTCTGAGCCCAATGAGTGCCTGCTGCATAAAACCCAGAGGTGATGCCGTATTCCACCATCCTGCATTAGGAAGGGGAAGTCACAGCCTCTAACAAGTGGCTTAGAGCTTATGAGAGGCCCAGGTCACTTCCACTGGTTTAAGGCCCCTAGTTGATTTAAAAACCAATAGGTACTATTAGATGTTTAACACATACATTTTACATAGAATACATACAAAGTATGACTGCAAGTTTACCTCACTTGGAGGACGTGATGAAAATCCACATCTGAAGCCATATTAATAGCCCTCCCAGGATAAGCCAGACACGCATGTGACAGATAAGGGCCCCCATCCATACTCCAAATATGGGACACTGGGCTTGGAGCCCTGCACACTGCTGGCACTCACCACCACACCCCGCATAGTCCCACAGAATCCCAGCCTTCTGTTCTTTCAGTCCTTGGCCAGCACTGAGCGGTCAGAGTTGGGGAACGGTGTTGGAGGCACTGGTGCAGCTGCTCAGAAGAGGTTTTACTTGATAGCCTATATCGAACTCTTTTTCCTGCAAGGGAGGTGGCTCTCAAGACTCCTCACAGTGCAGCAGGACAGGACAGACAGGCTGGCAGTAGAGAGGAGGGTGGGGTGAGGGCAGGCACCCAGGTTCAGCTGGGGCCATGCAAGCCAAGCTCAGAAGACAGGGTGGCCATCCCGCAATTCACAGCCACACCCTATAAGACCAGTGGGGACATCTCCCCTACCTCTTCCTTGCAGCCTGTGCCAAATAATGCAGAGTAGAGGGAGGCTGGGGAGCAGCAAGGGGGAGGAGGGAATACAGCCTATACATACCCTTTGTCCTTCCAGAAAATGGAGCTGGCTCTGGTGCCCCTGAATGCCCATGGCAACTTCTATGAGGGTGACTGCTACATCATCCTCTCGGTGAGCGCCATCCTCCCATTCCCACAAGCTTCTCCCCTGAGAGCCAGGCTCTACTGAAAGATCTGCTGATGATGCTACTCAGGTTCCTGGTATCTATCTTGCATTATACAGAACAGGCCTCCAGTTTGACTATCAAAGGCCATTCTTAGGCCAGGTTTTTACATATTGCATCAGAGGGTGGGGGTGGGGCCATCAGTCTAAACCTGAGTGAGTAGTGCACACGCAGCACTTCTCCCCCCAGGGGCCCAGACACCAGATTAAAGTGGTATTGAGGAACACCAGATAAATACAGGCCATATCTGGCCTCAAAGTACTCATTTTGGTTGTGGAAACTATTCCACGTAAACGGTGCCGACAGAGCCACACAGACACACAGATCAACATTGTGCCAGCTGTGTCAGTGCAGCGGAGCAGAGGAGCAGCAAGGTAAGTCTGCACTCCAACTCAGAAAAGGTCCCTTTTGGTCTCCATTTATTTTGAGAACAATAAGCTATCAACTTTGCCCAAATGTGGGGAGGAATCAGGGCTGCCAGACCTTGAGCCGCACAGCAGGTTTGCACAGGGAGAGGCTCAGAGCCTGCCAAGGGCAAGACATAAGCCACTGTACGCTGCATTCTTCCCACGCCAGAAAGGCCAGCAGCAAACGGGAGGTAAGCCGACCCCTGACCTGACTTCTCTGGCTACATCCCAGACACGGAGAGTGGGCAGTCTCCTGTCCCAGGACATCCACTTCTGGATCGGGAAGGACTCCTCCCAGGATGAGCAGAGCTGCGCAGCCATCTACACTACACAGCTGGATGACTACCTGGGGGGTAGCCCTGTGCAGCACCGAGAGGTCCAGTACCATGAGTCTGACACCTTTCGCGGCTACTTCAAGCAGGGCATCATGTGAGTCCTTACACAAGACATATAGAGCAAAGACATAAGTGGCAGTTTATCTCAGAGAAAACCCAAAAGGGCAATAAATATATGAAGAAAGTAATCAGAGAAATGCAAATCAAAACAAAGCTATCATCTGTGCCTACCAGAGTAGCGCAAATTAGAGAGCTGGGTGGTGCCAGGTGTTGGGGAGGCTGTGGGGAAATGAGAGCCCTTGTGCCCTGCTGGTGGGAGGGAGGACTGGTACAGCACTCCGGAGAATAATCTGCTGCCACTGAGGCAAAACCCACTTCTAAGTGTATAACTCAAAGGAATTCTCCAGTTCCATAAGGGCACATGAACCAGAATGTTCGCAGAAGTATCATTAGGGGTGGAGGGAAGCTGCAGTCAATGTAGAATACCCGTCACTGGGAGACTGGACAGGAAAAATACTCCATGACACCAAAGAGTATGATGCAGCAGCTGGAAACAACGAATTAGATACACACCTAATAGGCAGACAGAGCTTAAAAACATGATGCTCAGTGAACACAGTAAGAAACAGCATTGAGGTATGTAACAGAATGCCAATTTCTGTTTAAAAAAATATATATGCATGCAAAACAACAGGACACGTGTTACCAGAATGAAAATAAAAAGATAGATGTAAACTCTTAGAATGGTGACCTATGGCTGGGAGGAGACTGGGAGTGGAGTATGCAGATAAAAGGGAATATAAATACTTAAAACAAGAGAGGGGTCTGATAAAGGCCAATGATACTGTTCCACGAACTGAGGAGTCTCATTAACTCAAAACTTTGCACTCAAGATTGAAAACAAAAAGAAATTCCAAAGAGCTCAAGAATTCTGAGGCTGGTCCAAAGCCAGCTTCGTGCAGATCAACAGTCTCCACTGACTGAGGACCTGCCCCTTTGCTTCAGGGTGGCTCTCTGCATGCCCTTCCTGTGCAGGCTGCCTGGGATGCAGGCTAGGTTGGGGTGAGTGCAAAGGGGTGGGAGAACTGATTCCTGCAGTGGGTGAGTCTGAAGGCCACGATGTCATTCACGCTCCTGCTACTGCCTGACTTGTGCCCCTCTCCCCGTCACACACTGATTCACGCAGTTTCTAGAACAAAACAAGCTCTTTCAGCACCGTGGAGTCTTTATCACTCATGTTCCCTCTGTTTGGAGCACTAGTTCTCTGGGTGTTAGTTCCTATGCCTCTTAATGTCTCAGCTGAATGTCTCTTCTGAGAAAGCTGCCCTGACCACTCTGTCGGAAAGTCTATCGCTATGTCTACTTCTGTGGCAGCGGTTACCACCATCTGGATTTACCTTATTTACTGTCGTCACCCATATGGGCAGAGATTGCATCTGTGTAATTCACCACTGTCTCCCCCATACCCAACACATAGCAAGTGCTCAATAAATAACTGAATGGATGTTCCCTCAGCTACAAGAAGGGGGGTGTGGCCTCTGGGATGAAGCATGTGGAGACCAACACCTATGATGTGAAGAGGTTATTACATGTGAAAGGAAAGAGAAACATCAGGGCCACTGAGGTAAGTCCTGCCCATTGTCTGTCCTGGGCCCAAGGCCTCTCTACTTGGTACCTAAGAATTCCTCCTGAACAATGTCTACCTCTCATCTGCAGGTGGAAATGAGCTGGGACAGTTTTAACCGAGGAGATGTCTTCTTGCTGGACCTTGGGAAGGTCATCATCCAATGGAATGGGCCAGAGAGCAACAGTGCGGAGCGCCTAAAGGTACGGCTCTTCCCATTCTTGTCACTCACTTCTCTCCCTCGGGCCTGGTCATGGGACTTGGCTCAATCAGGTGCTTTTTTCTTCTTCCTTCCTCACTGGCTCTTCTCTGAGATTCAAGCCGGACCCCTACCTTGGAGCAGAATCTCTTTTAGAAAGAGGCCAAGTACATGACTCTGTGACTCACCCCTGAGCTCCTCAGCATCAGAATGACTGTGTCTGGGGTCCAGGCTGCTCCTCCCAAAGCCATCAGGCAGAAAGGGGGCCCAGAGGAGCTGAGTGCTTCCATGGGCTTCTTTGACAGGCTATGCTTCTGGCAAAGGATATTCGGGACAGAGAGCGAGGGGGCCGTGCTGAAATAGGAGTGATCGAGGGAGACAAGGAGGCAGCAAGCTTGGCACTGATGAAGGTCCTTCAGGACACCCTCGGCCGACGCTCCATTATCAAGCCTGCTGTCCCCGATGAGATCATGGATCAGCAGCAGAAATCAAATATCATGTTGTATCAGTGAGTAGTTAAACCTGGTGGCTGGTTGAGGTTGGGGCGGGTGGAGGGAAGGTATCCCCTAGAAAACTAAGCACTCCTGCTTGGCTCCTTGTTTTGGGTGCTGGCATCTGGCTTTTAGTCTTTTTCAAAAGCGGTTCTTAGAAGGATCTTGGTGATCCCCACTCAGGGAGGCAGCTGCCATCTGTTGTCAACAACTCTTCTTGGTCTCTAAAAGACCATTCCTTTACTCGGGTCTATACATGCCTGTCCCAGGAATGTGGACAGGATAACGTTTGGAGAGAGAGTCACAAAATCTCCTCTAGAGAACAGAGTCCTCAGCATCCCGTCTGCATTCAAGCTACATCTATCATAAGAAGTCAAATTCTACTCAGAAACTCCATACTAAAACAAAGCCAGGAAAATATCAAATGACAACAAGATGCTTTGTAGGAGAGAAGGCACAAACTAACCACTCCCCTTCTCCAGTGTCTCAGACTCAGCCGGGCAGCTGGCGGTCACAGAGGTAGCAACAAGGCCTCTGGTCCAGGACTTGCTGAACCACGATGTAAGTAGAATGTGGGTAGGCGTGGCTTAAGGTGGCCAGGCCTGGCTTCGGGGGCAGACCCTGGGGAAAGGCCTTACCATGGTCTTGAGCAGCAGTAACCACTTTTATCCCTGATTGCTTCAGGACTGCTACATCCTGGACCAAAGTGGGACCAAGATCTATGTGTGGAAAGGAAGAGGAGCCACAAAGGTTGAGAAACAGATGGCCATGTCTAAGGCCCTGGTAGGAGCTACAGATGTACAATACTGTCCAAAAAATTCTGTCCAAAACACTTCAGGTGTGCTCAGAAAGCCATACCAGGCACGTGAGCATGTAACATCACAGTTATAAACATGGACTTCCAAGTCAGACAGACAAATTGGGATTCAAATCCAGGTTTGATACCATCTCCTGGGGTTGTTGTAAGGATTAAATAACATTTGTAAAGCACTCAGAACAGTACACCGGCTCAATAAAAGGTGGCTGTTATTACTGAAGGGGATGGATATCACTTATCAAGGTTAATGGCCCTGTCCTCAAGGAGCTTATGATATCGTGCAGACTCAGGCAGATGAACCAATCAGAATGCACTTACAAAGCAATAAATGGGCAAATGAATGTGATACAGTCAGTAGAGTACATGAGTACTGAAAGAGCAGAGTACAGAGGATCTTGTGCACACATAAAAAAAAAATAGTAATAATCAATAAAGAGATGCCAAAATGTTCTGCTCAACCCTTTCCTTGAGGAAGGTAACTTGATTCCTAGACAGAATAAGTTAGAATTCAACCCTGACTCCCAGAAGAGAGCAATCCTACCAACTGGCTTCAAAGGGGTGAATCGCCAGCCAAGCAAAGAACCCAGTACATTCCTCAATTGACCTGCCTTTTGGGGATGGGGGTGTCTGCAGAATTTTATCAAGATGAAGGGCTACGCCAGCAGCACCAACGTGGAGACCGTCAATGATGGTGCTGAGTCAGCCATGTTTAAGCAGCTGTTCCAGAAGTGGTCAGTGAAGGAGCAGACCACGGGCCTGGGGAAAACGTTCAGCATTGGTAAAATCGGTAAGACTGCCCTAGTTGTCTTCTCACTGCTTGGACTCTAGACGGGCAGACACAGATGCTTTTCACGAACTTGGCTTCTCCCAAACCCTTCTCTTCAGCTAAAGTTGTCCAGGATAAATTTGATGTGACTCTGCTACATACTAAACCAGAGGTAGCTGCCCAGGAAAGAATGGTCGATGATGGCAATGGAAAAATTGAGGTAAATCTAATGATTTACATCTCAGGGCAGGCAGACAGCACTGGCCCTCCTGGCTCTTCTGTGGTAGAGGAGGAGGCAGGTGATTCTGGGTCTGTTTTGCTTTCCTTTTCACCTCCGGCACCTCAGAAGTATTCTCTAATTGGAGTCCAAGTCTGCAGTTTTCCCTCAGTTTTTCGAGGAAGTGAAAGACAGATACCTCAGTGAGCTGTCAATTACTTATCTGGCAGATCTATTCAAATCCTCTCTGAGCTATGGTGGGGAGGCGCCTAACCAGAGACATCCAGTTCTTCTCCAGATTCAAATTATGCAAATGCGATGAGCCCTCACCACTGAGAAAGCAGCACCGAGGGACAGGGGGACTTCAAGTAGACAGACATTAGCGCCTTACCTGTGGGGATTCACTGCTAAGCATGGCCATTCCCTTCAGGCAGCTGTCTCTTCAAATAGGATTCTGATCTCTGGGGAATTGTGTCTCCTCTGTGCCCAGGTCTGGAGAATTGAAAACCTAGAGCTGGTCCCCGTGGAGCATCAGTGGTATGGCTTCTTTTATGGGGGAGACTGCTATCTGGTTCTCTACACATATGAGGTTTACGGGAAGCTGCATTACATCCTGTACATCTGGCAGGTAGGCCTGGAGCAGGCTCTCAGCTTTGAAAGATGATGCTTCCTCTGGCCACTGAGCTGGGGCAGGGGTAGCAGGGTCTCATCCCTCCCGTCACTATTGCAGGGCCGCCATGCCTCACAGGACGAGCTAACAGCCTCTGCATACCAGGCGGTGGAGGTGGATCAGCAGTTTGACGGGGCCCCTGTGCAGGTTCGGGTGATCATGGGGAAGGAGCCACGCCACTTCATGGCCATCTTCAAAGGAAAGCTGGTTATCTTTGAGGTGAGAACCATCAGATA